CAAAAACCACCACTGCTAACCCCAGCACCACCACTACTGCCCCAACACCACCACTACTGCCACAGACCCACCACTACTGCCACAGCACCACCAAACTGCCCCCAAACACCACCACTACGCCAAAACACCACCACTACTACCACAGACACCACCACTGCTGCCCAGACACCCCACGCTCCACGACACCACCACTACTCCCCAGACACCACCCTACTGCCACAGACACCACCACTACTACCACAAACACCACCACCGCCCAGACACCCCCACACGACAACACCACCACTACACCCAAACACCACCCCTACTCCCCAAAAACCCCACCCCCACTCCACAGACCCACCACTACTGCCACAACACCACCACTACTGCCACAGACATCACCACTACACCACAGACACCACCACTACTACCACACACCACCACTCGCCCAGACACCCCCACAAATGCCACAGACACCCCCACACAAACCCCAACACACCACTACTGCCACAGACACCACCATACTGCCCCAAACACCACACACTACCACAGACCCGCCACTACTGCCACAGACACCCACCACTACTACCACAAAACCAGCACTACACCCGCCAAAACCACCACTAGCCACAGACACCACCATACTGCCACAAACACCCACCACTACTGTCACAGACACCACCACTACTACCCCAGACACCACCACACGCCAACACCACCACACTGCTGCCAGACACCACCACTACTACCCCAACCACCACTAACCCCCAGACCCACCACTAAATGCCAAACACCACCATACTACCACAAAATACCCCACTACTACCACAGACATCACCACAAAATGCCACAGACACCACCACTACTCCACAGCACCACCCCTACGCCACAGACACCACCACACTACCACAACACCAACACACTACCCCAAACACCCCACTTCTTCCCACAACACTACCACTACTACCCAACACCAAAACACTACCACAGACACCACCATACTTCCCAGCACCACCATATGCCACAACACCACCCTACACCACAACACCACCATACTTCCACAGACACCACCACTACGCCACAACACCACCACTACACCACAACACCGCCCTATGCCCCCAACCCACCACACTACCACAGACCACCCTACTACCCGACACCACCACTATGCCACAGCCCACCACTACTGCCACAAACACCCCCACTACTGTCACAGAACCACCACTACTTTCCACAGACCCACCACTACGCCACAAAACCCCCCACTACACCACAGACACCGCCCCACTGCCACAACACCACCAAACACCACAGACCTCCACTACTACCAGACCCACCACACGCCCAGACACCCCCACTACTGCCACAAACACCACCACTAATGTCACAGACACCACCACTACTTCCACAGACACCACCACTACTGCCACAGACACCACCACTACTACCACAGACACCAACACTACTGCCACAGACACCACCACTACTGCCACAGACCAACCCCCACACCCCACAGACAACCCCCACTACTACCACGACACCCCCACTACTACCACAGACACCACCCCTACTTCCCCAGACACCTGTGAAAAGGGTCCTTTTCCCAAACTAAAAAACGTTGCTTCTTGGTAGCTGTGGGCCATTTTTTCCAGTCGACACAGCGTCTGGAAAACAAACATAAAAAAGGAACACTGCAGCAGGCCCCACTGGCCCAGCGAGCAGGGCCAATCTCCTACCGGCTTAAGCCAAGCACCCCCAACCTAGTCAGGGCAGGGCAGTCACATTTACTTAAGGGAGGAACACGGCAACCGACCTGGTAGCACAAGCTATCAGGTCCAGCTCACACCCACCCACATCCACTCATATTTATCCAACCTGTTTTTAAAGCTACACAACGTTCTGGCCTCTATAACTGTACTTGGGAGTTTGTTCCACTCATCCACAACTCTATTACCAAACCAGTACTTTCCTATATCCCTCCTGAATGTGAATTTTTCCAACTTAAAATTAGGGGGGATATGATTGAGGTTTATAAATGGAAGACAGAAATAAATAAAGGGGATGTAAATAGTGTGCTGAAAATATCTAGCCTAGACAGGACTCGCAGCAATGGTTTTAAGTTGGAAAAATTCAGATTCAGGTAGGATATAGGAAAGTACTGGTTTGGTAATAGAGTAGTGGATGAGTGGAACAAACTCCCGAGTACAGTTATAGAGGCCAGAACGTTGTGTAGCTTTAAAAATAGGTTGGATAAATACATGAGTGGATGTGGGTTACCTGGAGGTTATTCCGGGGATCAACGCCCCCGCGGCCCGGTCCACGACCAGGCCTCCCGATGGATCAGGGCCTGATCAACTAGGCTGTTACTGCTGGCCGCACGCAGTCCGACGTACGAGCCACAGCCCGGCTGATCCGGCACCGACTTTAGGTATCTGTCCAGCTCTCTCTTGAAGGCAGCCAGGGGTTTATTGGCAATTCCCCTAATGCTTGATGGGAGGCTGTTGAACAGTTTTGGGCCCCGGACACTTATGGTGTTTTCTCTTAGTGTACCAATGGCGCCCCTACTTTTTATTGGCGGCATTTTGCATCGCCTGCCCAGTCTTTTACTTTCGTAGGGAGTGATTTCTGTGTGCAGATTTGGGACCATTCCTTCCAAGATTTTCCAAGTGTAGATTATGATATATCTCTCCCTCCTGCGTTCGAACGAGTACAAGTCAAGTGCTTTCAAGCATTCCCAGTAGTTAAGGTGCTTGACAGAACTTATACGTGCAGTAAAGGATCTCTGTACACTCTCTAGATCTGCAATTTCACCTGCTTTGTATGGAGATGTTAATGTACAGCAGTATTCCAGCCTAGAGAGAACAAGTGATTTGAAAAGGATCATCATGGGCTTGGCATCTCTCGTTTTGAAAGTTCTCATTATCCATCCTATCATTTTCTTTGCACGTGCGATCGTGGCACTGTTGTGATCCTTGAAAGTGAGATCCTCAGACATTACTACTCCCAGGTGGGTGTGAGTTGGACCTGATAGCTTGTGCTACCAGGTCGGTTGCCGTGTTCCTCCCTTAAGTGAATGTGCCCTGACCTGACTGGGTCGGGTGCATTGGCTTAAGCCGGTAGGAGACTTGGACCTGAACATTAAAATGGTATAAAATACCGACAGGTTGTTAGGTAAGACACATATGCAACAGTTAGGTATCTTTATTTTGAAACGTTTCGCCTACACAGTAGGCTTCTTCAGTCGAAGATTGAGACACTTATGCAGCATATGGGAATCTTTATTCAGGAAACGTTTCGCCACACAGTGGCTTCATCAGTCCAATACAAAGAGGAAGGCGTAAGGAGAGGAGGAGAATGAGGTAATCAGTCCCTCAACCTGGAGTCGATGTGTTCAGCCCATCAATCTTGTAGAATGTACAGCATAGGGCCGTAGACGTGGCTTATATACTGTAGTGAGGTGACGTGAAGCAGATGGAGGCGGGGTCATAGTGGTACCATCCACTAGTCGAAGTAGGTCTTCGTCCAAAGGTTGAACATTCTTCAGTCGAGTACAGAAAAGTTGATAGAAGCAGAAAATACTTGAAGACGATGTAATCAGTCCATCACCCTTAAAGTTTTGAGGTGGTCAGTCCCTCAGTCTGGAGAAGAGCATTGTTCCATAGAATGAAACAATGTTCCATAGAATGTTCCATAGAATGAAACAATATTGTTTCATTCTATGGAACAATGCTCTTCTCCAGACTGAGGGACTGACCTCAAAACTTTAAGGGTGATGGACTGATTACATCGTCTTCAAGTATTTTCTGCTTCTATCAACTTTTCTGTACTCGACTGAAGAAGCCTACTGTGTAGGCGAAACGTTTCAAAATAAAGATACCTAACTGTTGCATATGTGTCTTACCTAACAACAGTTAGGTATCTTTATTTCGAAACGTTTCGCCTACACAGTAGGCTTCTTCAGTCGAGTACAGAAAAGTTGATAGAAGCAGAAGAGACTTGAAGACGATGTAATCAGTCCATCACCCTTAAAGTTTTGAGGTGGTCAGTCCCTCAGTCTGGAGAAGAGCATTGTTCCATAGTATGAAACAATACAGCATAGGGCCGTAGACGTGGCTTATATACTGTAGTGAGGTGAGGTGAAGCAGGCGGAGGCGGGGTCATAGTGGTACCATCCACTAGTCGAAGTAGGTCTTCGTCCAAAGGTTGAACAAGTGTTGAAGAATTCTTTGTAACAAGATCCCATGATGCTGCAGTGTCTGACAGTTGTGATGAATGATTTGAAAAACCGACAAGTTGAAGATTGAGACACTTATGCAGCATATGGGAATCTTTATTCAGGAAACGTTTCGCCACACAGTGGCTTCATCAGTCCAATACAAAGAGGAAGGCGTAAGGAGAGGAGGAGTATGAGGTAATCAGTCCCTCAGCCTCAATCTGTCAGACACTGCAACACAAGGGTATCTTGGTACAGACCTACAATCAACTTCGACAACCTCTACTAGTGAGAACGGCTGGATTTGAGAGGGACCTGACCTCCCAACATCTGAGTTCTTACCTCTTCTAGTGACCTACGTCTCACATCTTGGCGCTATATAAGGCTCCATCCTGTCACTTCATCTCCATATTGTTTCATTCTATGGAACAATGCTCTTCTCCAGACTGAGGGACTGACCACCTCAAAACTTTAAGGGTGATGGACTGATTACATCGTCTTCAAGTCTCTTCTGCTTCTATCAACTTTTCTGTACTCGACTGAAGAAGCCTACTGTGTAGGCGAAACGTTTCGAAATAAAGATACCTAACTGTTGCATATGTGTCTTACCTAACATAGCTGACATTGTATGGGACTAAGATACTGTGCAGGGTGTTCAAAAGCATACATAGTATGTTTATGTTTTTAAAACGTTATATTTTTTTTATTAAAAAAAAAACTGATAATACAGCCCCCATTGTATTAATTTTAATAACCCTATATAATGTATGTTTTAAAAGTAGAGCTCAAACATGAGACGTGGTAACCGGTGAAGTTGGCTTAGTAATTTCGTAGAAGCGGCAGGTTTGGCAACCCTGGGCCAGCTGGCCTGTGAGAAAGAAGCATCTTAGTGTCAGTCTGCGTGTGGCCATAAGAAGGGTGTATTGTGCTGCTCCTGGTATATATCACACATGTATGTAATTATTGAAATATCTTATTTGATATTGTAATCTAAAGTATATATTTGTTCTAAATTTGTTTGTCATGTTAGTCATTTATAATTGTTCTCCGTTGAAAGCTGGGTATCCAGGTGAGTACAAAATAGAAAGGGCGTTTGTCTCGCTCTTTTCAGACGGAGGATTGAGCCTCCACCACGTACCGCTGAATGACCCACTTGAGTTTAGCGCTTAACATGAATTATTATTTAATTCGCTGTTTAGAATTGTGGCTTAGCGCTTCTTTTTTATTATTATAATAATTTAATTCCAATGAAGGCTGTATTGAGTGATAAACGTGCACATTACCATGTTATTTATAAATGTTTATTATATGTATTCATTTTGCTTAATGTATAAGACATCCTGCAGTTTATATATATATATATATATATATATATATATATATATATATATAATATATATATTATATATATATATATATAATATATATATATATATATATATATATATATATATATCATCCTCAGCTAAACACTCACTATGTTCAACTCAAACTTTTTATTAGTCAAAAGTAACCACTGGGCCTTTCACTTCTTAAGGAACATACTCAGTGTTTGTGGCCAGTGATTTTTTTTGGGGAGGGGTGTTATCGTAGCCCCTCAAGGGAGGTTCTTTGATTCTGGTGAGGGGCTCTTGATCTAGAGAATTGGATCTGTGCTCCAGTTCTCTGAATTGGGCCTGAATGCCTTCCATCCCCCTCCGCCACATCCGCTATATAATCCTATGGGTTTAGCGCTCCCCATGGTTATATAATATATTATATATGTTAGGTATATATATGTTAGGTGAAATTAAGACACATGTGCAACATCTGGGTATCTTTATTGTAGACGTTTCGCCATCCAGTGGCTTTATCAATACACATTCTAGGACATAACTTGAAGACAGTAGAACTATGTACAGAAGATGAGGTAATCAGTCCCTCAACCTAGGTGTAGGTGCGAAGAGCACCATAGTCGTGGAGATTCTGAAGCAGAAGAAAGGAGCCTGGCGCTTATATAGTAACGTCAGGTGTAACAGACGAGGGCATAGTCACTGGTAGGCGGGATTCCCCAGTGGAAGTTGGTCCTTCCCAAAGAGATGGGTTAGTTAATTAAATTATGTTGTGATAGAGATCATATATAAGCTCCATTAACTCCCTAATACTGTGAAACTGGTTTACTATTGAATAGTGTATAGTCTTTGAATGATTATATTGTTCTGTTTAATACTGAACCAGTGTTTTTTTTTTATGTACTCTGCATCTTTGTATATGCCTCCATTTATATTGATAATTTTTATACAGTACTAAATAAAATAGTCATTGCAGTTTATTACAGGTTTAGCATTATATATGAAAATAATATGATTTAATTATCAGAATGTTGCGAGGAGCAGGAAGAGCAGTTGTGAGGGTAGTGGTTCAGGCTGGGGGAGCCCAAGGAGGCCTCCTTAGAGCCTCTGTCCCTACTGCCACTACAGTCTCTAGACGCTGGCAGGGTGACTATGAACGTCACCAGATTCCTGAGCGCCTTCAGTACATCCCTGATGCTGAAGAACCAGCCTTCTTTGAGATGGTTGAATATTTCTTTCACCGTGGCTGCCAGGTAAGTCAGGTCATGGCTCTTGATTTAGTTAAATGACAATTTTACTTGCAATGCCCAAGTTACTTTGGGTATGCTTTCATGAAAAACATTAAACTTCACTGTATACAGTACAAATGCACTGTATGGATAGCATTATAAAAATAATTAGGGCCTATTGTATTAAGTAATTGAAGTTTCTTTATTACCAAAATTTTAGTAATGGTCTTGTGCAAACAGAAAGGGTGCTCTGCCCCCCTTAAAAAATGAATAAGCTATCATCAAGAGGTGCCATTCAATAACACTATCACTGACCCCCTTTTGTTTCTGCCTCTGACCAGGTAGTTGAGGACCAACTGGTTGAAGAGATGAAGGACCGTATTACTCTGGAGGAAAAAAGAAACAAGACAAAAGGCATCCTAAAGATATGTAGGACCTGCCACCAGTCCTGGAGGTCGCTTTCCCGGTCAAACGAGATGATGGAACCTATGAAATGATCAGCGGTTACCGTGCTCAGCACTCCCTACATCGTACCCCCACCAAGGGTGGTAAGTAGTGCACCGTTTTTTGGTAGTAAAGTGTTCTCTGCATATACACTAACTGAGCTGCCTCTTGCTTACTCCCTACTGTCACTCCTTTTCCTCTCAACCAGGTAGTACATGTTGGGAGTATGGGGGGGTGTCATCGATTGGCAGTGGCAGGGTAGCCTTGCCATTTTGTCTCAATTGGCATTAGAGTTTATCCAGTTCTTTGAGAGGGTTCTAGTGATAGGATGCAACACCCTTCCTACAAGCAGAAGTCAACCATCTCTGGATGGTTGACTTCTGCCTGTAGGTGGTGTCTCAGCCAGCTGGGATACTACGGAACATTTTTTCCACTCAGCTCTCATGTATTTCCATGAATCCCTTTGCCAGTATGGCACAAGTCACCTGTAATTACCTCTTATGGATGAGCCTGGCTATGATTCCCTCAAGAGATTTCTGTCCTTCACCTTAAGGCTTTGGAACAAATTGGCAAGCTTTATTGGTGCCATCCACACTTTCCTGCAACAGCTCTAACCAGGTCCTCTGGACTCCTATTCCATCTCCTATAGGGGCTGCTATGCCCCCTACTATCCTTCCATGATTAAGAACTCCCTAATTCCCAGGAGGTAGGGATCAAAACGGCTTTCGCCGTGGTGGCCCTTAACAACCTGAACACCACCACCTATGTAAACCCCAGTCATGTATATGGTACGTATATTCAGCTTTAATACTCAGTGGAATACTTCAGCTTTCTGAATGCTCTTATGTTAGAATATGTAGGGAAAGCATCACAAACATGAATTTGTTTATTCACAGGGCATAGGTAAAGCTGGTGCAGTGTTGCTTAATGTAATGTGCCCCCTGCATCTGGAGAAAGCAACTTAGTGGGCATGGGTTATGACATGAGGAACTTGTATTTCTTTGTGACCCAGCAGGTAATATATGGTGTACTTTAGGTAGGAATGTTTTGACTGCTGAAGATCAGCCATTATCATGATGTCAGAACCTCCCCCCCCCCCTCACCACCACCGAATACTATATACACCATACTAAAAATTGCCACTAATGTAGGACTTATTGTATATCTTGGGTTTCACCAATGGGAGGGTTCACCCAGTGATGAATGGTTGGGTGTCCCCAAAAGCAGTGGCGTCGCTAGGGTTGGTGTCACCCAGGGCGGCATCTTTGGTGTCAACCCCCATGAAATCCAAGGGCGGGGGGAGTAAACTCCAGTTACGTCACTACTGCATGACCAGTGACTAATGTTTAACAATGAGAACGTTTAAGGGCCATAAACAGAACAGGAGGATACTTCTCAACTTTATTAATGATAAAATAAATAATCGTACTAATATTGAGGAAACAAATACAGGCAACAGATCCTACATTTATTCGTCTTCAGTAATGCAAAAAAAAAAAAAAAAAAAAGAACTTGAAAAATAAAGAAAAACTTTGCAATATCAGAGAAACACTAGTTCTGGTTTGACCTTGAGTACAGGTAACATCTCAGTGAATATGATCTTACATTTCCTTGCCTTTAATCCTTGGAAGACAACAGTTTAACAACTCCAGTCAGATCAGTACACTACGTCTACTTCCACCCATTCCCTCCTTGCACTCTGGGTGGCAGTTTGTCCACCCAACTAATATCTGCCAGTCAATCATTGAAAATTCAGCATCCCTATGATCAGTGTTGATAATAATCAACAGAGCAACACATTACCATAAATGTGTCTGTTGTGATACCTCCACAGGACTGTTCGTTGCCATGCATAAGGTTTTTGGAAAGTAGTACTTTCTTAACGAACACTATAATCTTGAGGTTCTTTAATGTGTGCCACATTAATTTGGATCTCAGTGTCGGGCATTTTTAATAAAAAAAATAATTCACTTTATGAATACTCTTTATCAAAGTGTGTGTACATGTTTTGGAGACTTTGTATTGTGGGAATTATGTCGCTTAGATTAATGCATCTTTAATTAATAGAAGTTGATCAGAAAAAGAGCAACAATTAAAAAAAAAGTGGGTGTAGGAGTTATTGTGGTGGTGAAAGATTTTCATACAATAAAAATTAAGGATGTGCAAGAAAGGTAAACAATACCAATAAAATGAAAGTTAAGACATGTGCTACATCTGGTTATTTTTATTGTAGACGTTTCGCCATCCAGTGGCTTTATCAATACAGGACATAATTAGAAGACAGTAGAACTATATACAAAAGGTGAGGTAATCAGTCCCTCAGCCTTGGAGTTGGTGTTGAGAGCGCCGTGGTAGTAAAGATTCTGAAGCAAAGGCAAGGAGACTGGCGTTTATATAGGCGTCAAGGAAAAGGGACGTGTAGCAGACGATGGCATAGTCACTGGTAGGCGGGATTTCCCAGTGGAAGTAGGTCCTACCGAAAGGGATGGGTTAGTTGTAGTAGCCGTGAAGGTCTTGTAGGTGTCCTAGAATCTGTATTGATAAAGCCACTGGATGGCGATACTTCTACAGTAAAGATAACCAGATGTTGCACATGTGTCTTAACCTTCAAAAATTAAAGATTAATGTTTGTTTTATACAGTTTTTTTAGAGATGTTAATGTTTACAGGTGCACAACATTTGAATAGAATATTAAATGGAAACTACAGACATTGAAGAATATGATAGTAAAATGTAAATAAGGATTTCAGTGTGGGAACGTAATTTTAGGGATAAGAATGCAGTTGAAAAAACTCCATGAAAATGAAAAACCAATAAAATCGAGAACCTACAATACAGAGAAGGATATTCATCAAACACCCTTAAAGGGAGGGGGTTCCTTGGTGCTGCTGAAGGGTTCTTGATTCAGGAAATTAGAGCTACCCCTCCCATGGGATCAAACTGGATTATCTCCCCTTCCCTGACCCTTGTGGGGGTCATGCACCCTCAGTTATAAATTAATAGCCTTTAAATGCAGTATATTAATTTATGTAAGTTGAAGAAAGTGGTTATAATAAATGTTACACATGCAATAGAATTAAGAAATAATGTGAAGAAAGACGACCATGCATCAGGGTCTATTTTCGCCTTGCTCAACCCCCTCCCCCTCTCCCCTCCAAGATGCCGGCAGACTTGTCCTTGTTGCTTATTGGCTGACAGCACTCACACGCCCCACGGAGCAGCCAATCAGTGTTCATGTACTGGCACACCCTCCTTGTCTCCAAGACTAAAAACTAGGAATTTCTTCAAGGATTTCAGGGTTACTGTTATATTTGAGAGAAGAGACTGTGCCCTCCCCCCGTTTTTTGGACAAGGGAACGAGCAAATATAGGAAGAATAAAGTTTAGAAAGACTTTATCAAGGTGTGTAGGTACCTCTTAGCACGATTAGTTCAATTAAGGGCTTAACAATTTATGCTGAGAGTTGCATCCTGGGGACGGTGGGCAAAAGAACCCAGTGGAAATAAGCCACACTAATTGACTTTATTGGGTTATCTTGGAATACTAGTCCTCTGGGGTTAAAGATCCGAATTGTTTTCTATATAAGCGCTTCCAGTCTCCAGTTGCAGTGATTGAAATTCAACTCATGGACCTCACACCTCGATCACCTGGTGAATATTTTTTTTTTTTCAACTGGATGATTCTGTATACAAGTGCGCATGTTTTGGAAAAAAAAAAGTACAGTATGCATAGGGATAATTTGGTAAGTTGCCAGGGTGTACTAGTCGTGATAATTTGGTGTACTAGTTGATGGCGTGGGATCCACGTGCTTATACTCTGGCGGTGGTGCCAACTCTCGCGCTTGTGCCAAGTCGACTACTTGCTCAATCAGCTTTACGCCTTTGGACTGTAATTATCTACGAGTCTGCTGGGTGAGGGAGCTAAGCTCATGCTCTTGGCGTCGCCGTTTAACTCCCGACCGATTGACGTGAAATAGTCATGTCGTGTCTAATTTTAAGCCCTGTACAGTGCTTTCACTACCACTTGATTCCACTTTTTTTTTTTTACCTTAAATATGTTGAAGTAGTTTTTTTTCTGTATCGATATGCCTGATTTGGGAATAATTTTCAACGATGACCCCTTGTTCTTGTTACAGCCTTGGTAGAATCTGATCTTATCTACGTCATGGCCCTGAGTAGTGCACACGTTGAATTGGCTTTACGGGGGTCTAGCCAATAGCTCATGGCCCCATATCTTAACTAGTGGCATTAATACCTATTAATATTGAGATTTTTAACATTGTCACTGATTTTTATGTTTTTGGGGATGGAGAGGACCTTACTGCTCTGTTTAAGTAAAATGCACGGTAGATGCATTCATGAACTTTAGAAATATCCTCGGCATGGGGCGGAGGGGGGATTCCAGTTACTATTGGTGAATTCGTCCGGGAGAATAGTCTTGTGATGTCTTGCTCCGAGTAGATTTGAATGATAGTGCCGTTGGCCTGAGCTTACTTATTCACAAGTTATATAATGTCAAACATGTAAAAATCGAGCCCCTAAGCACCATTCTTACGTATCAGATGAATTATTTAAAACTTTC